ACAGCTGCTCACACCTGTGCAAGGTGGATTAGAAACATTATCGTTCTGATTTGGTAACGTGATGTGGGGCAAATGCTCTTGTAGCATAGAGAGAGATTGCAGCGCAAGGGCCAAGCCAGGCAACAGTGAAACCTTTGGAGTTTATGATACAGCTTGTTTCCTGGCTCTCTTGATGGGCACCATCTTTTCATTCTTGACACAATGCTCCTGACTTTTGTCTTTGGCTTTCAGCCTGACACCTTGCCTTCTTGGTCTCTCTCTGGTTTTCTTTGCTTCCCTTTTCCTATTATGACAGGTTCATGGAGGAATTCTTCACAGCAGTCAAAAAAGCAAATAGAGTGCTAGGAATAATTTAAAAAGGGATAGAGAATAAGACAGAAAATATCCTATTGCCTCCATATAAAACCATGGTGCTCCCACATCTTGAATACTGTGTGTAGATGCGATCGCTTCATCTCAAAAAAAGATAGATTGGCATTGGAAAACGTTCAGAAAAGGCCAACAAAAATGGTTAGTGGTTTGGAACGGGTCCCATATGAAGAGAGATTAAAAAGACTTGGACTTTTCCGCTTGGAAAAGAGGAGACTAAGGAGCGATTTTAAAGAGGTCTATAAATCATGACTGGTGTGGAAAAAGTGAATAAAGAAAAGTTATTTACTTATTCCCACAATATAAGAACTCAGGGTCACCAAATGAAAATAATAGGCAGCAGGTTTAAAACAAAGAGAAAGAAGTTTTTCTTCATTCAGCACACAGTCAACCTGTGGAACTCCTTGCCAGAGGATGCGGTGAAAGCTAGGACTTTAACAGGGTTCAAAAAAGAGCTAGATACATTCGTGGAGGTTAGCTCCATCAATGAGTAGGAATTATGTCCCTATCCTCTGTTTCTCTGGAGGTGGGTGATAGGGAAGGGATCACATGAGGATTACCTGTTGTGTTCCCTCCCTCTGGGGCATCTGGTATTGGCCACTGTTGGCAGGCAGGCTACTGGGCTGGATGGACCCTTGGTCTGACCCAGTCTGGCCGCCGTTATGTTCTTATGCATGAGGATTACTGCTGTTGTTGTTCTTGTTATTTATTTCCTATGCAAGGTCGTGAAACCTTTGTTCTAGGTGCTGCACACACACATCATTAGAGATGGTCCTTCCTCTGAAGAGCTAAAAAGATCGTCAGTGCTTGTCATTGAGATCAGACTGGCTCCTGGCATCTTCCTCATTTTCCTTCTGTGCGGCTAACGGCACGGCCTTCCCATGCAGGAAGAGCCTTTCCAGGGAAGTAACATTCAAACAGTCCACTGGGAAGACAACGGACATTTATTTGGTATATGGTTTCCTCTCAGGGGCTAAAGCATTTGGCACATTCAGAACACAATTGTCAGAAAAGCCATTGGCTGGTTGTTTAGCCGTGGATGTCTGTGTGTATAGAAACTGCTCCAAAGGCCATTATAGTCATTAGCAAAACTTCCCATTGACATCATACACTTTGGATCAGACCCATATTGAATATACCTTCATTATGGGATGGACTAGCTAGACTGTAACCTTATTATTGCGGTTGTAACGGCTTCTTTAATTGGGTTAATTTTGTGATCTGTCACTTTACCTGCCACCAGGTTTTCCTGGTCTTTTTTGCAGGGTGGGAGTCACTAGAGAAGTGTGGTCCGGATCTAACTGGAGTTAGCCCTGTAGAAGGTTTGTTTGCTATAGGGAATGCACATCATAATGTCCAGATGTGTACAGAAAAAGATGCTAGTGGAATTACACGAGCAGCACAGAGGGCTAATACATATGGAAGGGACGGTGTAAAGGGCTCACCCTCTCTCTTGAGGGCCTGTGTCCACAAGCTCCTACTCCTTCTCCTGGCTCTGGAGTGGATGGTATCCCAGATATCCCTTCTTCTAGGTTGCTTAGGATCAGGCTTCTTCCGGCCTTTCTCCCAGTAGCTACTGGAGGTTTGGGGAGGATCCAGGTCCACCCACTCCTCTGGGTCCTGGCCCAGGGACCCTGTAAATAGCACTTATCTGCTGAGTACCAGTCCTTCTGGCTCTACTGCTATTCTTGCTCCCTGGGCCAATTTCCCATGGGTCTGCACTGTCCTTGCCCTCCCCTCAGGGCTTTGCCTCAGAGTCCCAGCACCACCCTCTCCAGGGTTTAACAACTCTTCCTACCCACCCCACCCAGTCTTCAGCCAGGTCTGCAATCCACTCTCCACCCTGACCTATCCAGGGTACTGCTGCTTGCTCAGTCAGTCCGTCCATCTGCCTAACTTGAGCTCCAAAGAGGAACTGACTGGCTCTAGCCCAGCAGCTTCTTTATACTGGCTTACTGGGCCCCGATTGGCTGCAGTGGAAGCAGACACTCTGGCCTGCCTGGAGGACTTCTCCTCTGCTCTTTTTCCTGGGGTGAAGCGTGGCAAGACCACAAGCTTCCAGCAGGGGGCTTCAGGGCTTAGCCCATCCCGTCACTGATAGACTGAAATTGTTTTTGGTGGCTGACTTTAGATGAAGATAGTAGCCAGCGCGATTTCCAGAAGAGGCACTGTCCCCCATGGAAATTTTCAAGGCCAGGCAGCGGCTGTGCATTGACCTTGCAGAAAAAGAATAGCAAATATATGTAGAAGTGGTTAATGAGTATTCGTAGGGGCAAGAGGTGGAGTACTTGATAAAAACCTCTAATAAACAACTGACATATTTGCCACTGAGGGGGTTTACCTAAGGAACTCTTTTCACATCACAGTCCTACAATTTATTTCTGGGAGTTTTAAACATTGTACAGCAAAATTCAGTGAAACATAGTGGGCCAGCTCTCTGTCACCCAGCTTGAAATGGACCAGCAGAGAGTTTTGTGCAGACACTAGAACCAGTGCTAGACAAAAATGACTGGAGACCGCTGCCTTGCAAATTTCCTACTCTCACATAGGTCTACCCCACAGCCTGCCACTCGTAACACTCTACATTATAATATGCGAATAATGTACTAAGATCGATATACTTAGACCTGAGTGATGGAGAACATGCGACAGAAGATGGCAAAGAGTGGAAAAACTCTACCCCATTTCAGGTATCTAAAAGGGTGTCATAAGGAGGAGGGAGAAAATTTGTTCATCTTGGCCTCTGAGGATAGAACAAGAAGCAATGGGCTTAAACTGCAGCAAGGGAGGTTTAGGTTGGACATTAGGAAAAACTTCCTAATAGTCAGGGTAGTCAAAGACTGGAATAAATTGCCCAGGGAGGTTGTGGAATCCCCCTCCCTGGAGATATTTAAGAGTAGGTTAGATAAATGTCTATCAGGGATGGTCTAGACAGTACTGGGTCCTGCCATGAGGGCAGGGGACTGGATTCGATGACCTCTCGAGGTCCCTTCCAGTCCTAGTATTCTATGATTCTATGATACACCTGCCACATTTTTTCTGCCGAAGGCACACAGTGTTAATACAATATTACGTGGGAGGGTTGACATGGGGGGAAAGCCATAAAGCAGTTATTGGGACCAGAGGCATTTTTTATAGAGGTAAAATGGAAGATAGTGAAGAGGCCCATTGATCAGTTGTCACTGGACATAACCTCGGTACGATTACAGCACTTGACGTTAGTAAGGCTGGGTGTGGCTTTGGCTGGAGAAGGCACCAGAGATGGTGGGCAACAGAGGGAGAAGATCAGGGTTTCTATGGAGGTGACCCAAACAGGACAAAGACCAGGTATCACTTTTACTCCCCGGCAGGCACCACTGGCCTCCTCTAATGTTCAGTTTGTGATTTTGTTCATGCTTGTAAGCTGAGGAATTTAGAGAAGAGGCTGGTGGATTGAAAATTGTGGTACAATTGTGATCTATCATTTTACATTCTCGGGGAAGCCTATAGTCTGGCTTGCAAGCTATGGGGCCTGGTGGGAAGTGTGTGCTCTGGGCCTGAAGCAGACGGAGAGCCAAGCATTAAGGGTGTGTCTAGACTACAGGGTTTTGTCGACAAAAGTGGACTTTTGTCGACAAAACTATACCTGCGTCTACACTACCGCTGAGTTTTGTCGACGCTGGTAAACCTCATTTTACGAGGCATAACACCTTCTGTCGACAGAGTTCTGTCGACAGAAGGTGTTATTGCATGTAAACTGTCCTTTGCGTCTACACTACCATGTCGACAAAGCAGCTTGCTTTGTCGACAGAACTGAATGTAGTCTAGACGCTCTTTGTCGACAGAAGCTTTGTCGACAGTATCTGTTGACAAAACTTCTGTTGACAGAAGCCTGTAGTGTAGACGTACCCAAAGTGGGGAGAACTGTACTTCTCCGTTGTAGGGAGCAGCCTGTTTTGTCTCCCTGTTTAGTGGCTGGTTTGTGTCCTGGTCCTGAATTCTAAGGAAATCAAGTTACATTGCAACCTTCCTCCCCCCGTATTTAAGTTATGGTCTAACGGCTCTGTGTGCACGCTCTGAACATAACATGGAGAAAGCCCGGAGAATCATTCTACATGAGAGCAGGAGGACAACTCCGCAGAACCCAGGAAGGGTGAAGAATCTGTGGAGGAGTGAGTCTGGTTAGGAGCAAAGAGTTAATTTCTCTGAGTTCCTTTTAATAGACTCTTTGTTTACCTCAGAATAGGTGCGTCTGAACTTGGGCCTGCAACGCGACCTCCAGCCATGAGGGGGCATGCCAGCTATAAGTCCACTATTAAAGAGTAATCATTTGCCAAGACTTGCCACATTAAAGGAATCTGCGTTACCATAGTTCCCTCCCATCCCATGCTTAGCAAATACAAGTGCAAAGGCCACAGCAAAGTTTCCATCTGCAGAAATGGGCTTTTAACGGTGACCACTGGATCACCTTTTCAAATCTCATCTAATAACACAGGCTTAAATCTCCTACTGGCATAAATCAACTTAACTCTGAAGAAATCAGTGGAGCTATGTTGATTGACATGGTCTGAAGATCTGGTTTAATATTCTTCTTCTTTGCTGATCAATCTAATTTCTTTCTCCCTCTGTCATTAAAGTAACCAGAAAATGTTTGGGAAGACAGATTTAATGGAAGACATCATATGGCTCAGAATAAATATACATATATATGTATGTATATATGTCTTTCACTGGACCAACATACAAGCTTTAAGGCTCAAAGGGCAGGTCTACACTACACAGAAGATCAACACTGCCACGGTCAATCTTCCGGAGTTCGATTTAGTGGGTGTAGTATAGACCTGCTAGATCAAATCCAAAGGGTACCAGTACTCCTGCTCCTCATGAGGAGTAAAGGAAACTGATGGGAGCGTTTGTTCTTGTCGGCCTCCTGTTGTGTGGATGGTGCGGAAACACAATGTAAGATAAATCGACTCCAGCCGTGTAATTTACGTAACTGGAGTTGCATCTCTTTCTTTGACCTTCCAATATAGTATAGGCCAAGCCAAACAGAGTGAAGATCCCCCCACCCCCAAAAAAGATGGGATTTGAATGCATTTTATAATACAAAAATTATCTGTAATTTGCCCACATATTTCACAATGTCAATGCCAGTGGATTTTCTTCAAGTGCACATGTATCCCATTCCTGGACCGTAAGATAATCTGGGGTATTTTCCTGGGAATCTTCGCTGGATTGGGTGAAAACTCAAAGCGTAGCAAGGACAGCGCAATGGCCACTTTCATCTCCATCATGGCAAACTGCTGCCCAATACAGTTCCTGAGAAGAGAGAGAGAAAACCAGTGAGAATACTGAACTTGAGTTGCCTGGCGCATACTCCAAAGTCCCCTGAAGACAGTAGGAGACTTTCCATTGACTGCAAGTCAAGTGGTTTTGCAGCTGGGCTTCTTCCACATGCCGTTAATCCAACACAAAGAAAGTGTTTTAAAAGGTTTAGTTTATTTTTCACTCTTTGCCAGCACTTTGAGAAGGCTACTTGCTGTTGAACAATTCTCTGTGCTCCATGAGGTTCATGTCTCAAGGAATCAAACTGGTGGAAGCCATTCAAATAATTAACTTCTATTTTAGGATCAATACCTTCATTGATTCCGGCATGGTTGTTCACTGAATATATAGAATTCTACAGCTACAAGGCAGATCCGACACCCAGCTCTGAGCAGGAACAAAAGACTAGATCAAGTTTCACTATCTACTCAGGAGAACCCTAATACCAGGAGATGGTATTGCCATTGATATATAGGGGATTGTAATATATGTAGCCTGACTATGAAGTAACAGAGAATTTGTACCCATTGCATATTAGTAGTATCCACAGTCAGGGCCGACTTATCCATTAGGTACAGTAGGCACAGTGTCTAGGGCCCATGATACCTTTAGGGGCCCACAAAAATATTTTAATTTCTTTTAAAATCAGAAGAAAAAAAATGAACTTTTAGGGTCGAAGAAAATGTTTTAATTTTTTTCTCATATCAGAAAAAAATGAAACTTTTAGGGCCCACGAAAATCTACTAAATTTTGCATAAAACAGAAAAAAAATAAAATGTTGAAGTATTTAAAGTGATATCAAAAATAATTTTTAATATTGATATTATGGTGGGAGGGGCCCACGAAGGCAAAAGTGCCTAGGGCCCACGAAAGTCATAATGCGGCCCTGTCCACAGTGGCCAATATCAGGTGCCCCAGAAGGAATGAACAGAACAGGCAATCATCAAGTGATTCATCCCCAGTCGTCCATTCTGTTTTCTTCCAGCAAACAGACACTAGGGACACAATCCCTGCTTATCCTGGCTAATAAGGATTGATAGACTCTATCCTCCATGAATTTATCCAATTCTTTTTTAACCCTGTAATAGGTTGGGCCTTCACAACATCCTCTGGCAAGGAGTTCCACAGGTTGACAGTGCATTGTGTGAAGAAATACTTCCTGCTGCCTATTAATTTCATGGGTGATCTCTAGTTCTTGTGTTATGAGGAGTAAGTAGCACTTCCTTATCTACTTTGCTACACCAGTCGTGATTGTATAGACCTCTACCATATCCTCCCTTGGTCGTCTCTTTTCCAAACTGAAAACCCCCTCTCCTCATATGAAAGCTGTTCCATATCCCTAATCACTTTTGTTGTCTTTTTCGGAACCTTTTCCAGTTCCTATATATCTTTTATGAGATGCGGCAACCAGATTGCACTCAGTATTCAAGATGTGGATGTGCCATGGATTTATGTAGCGGCAATAAATTACGTTGCCTTATCATCTATCCTTTTCCTAATGATTCCCAACATTCTGTTCACTGTGGTAACTGCTGCTGCACATTAAATGGAACTATCCACAATGACTCCACTGTCTCTTTCTTGAGTGTTACCAATGGATTTAGACCCCTTCATGTTATTTGTAAATAAAGTAGCTGAGGGCAGTAAGATAAATGGTTCCAGCCTTTCTCCAACTTTATTACTCTCTGTCTCTTTAATATTTGTCTTTATTCACTTTTTTAATGTTAAAAACTAAGTTGTGTTAAATTATCATTACGTTCATATAAACACTTGACAACTATTCAGTGCTCTAGGCACCTCGGATGTGGGGCCAATTAGATTGCCCCACCAGGGCGTTTGACTCCCCTCGTTGATACACATGTGATTTCTCTCAAAGGGTACATCTAGACTACATCCCTCTGTCAGCAGAGGGATGTAAATGAGGCACTAAGAAAGCGCAAATGAAGCGGGGATTTAAATATCCCGTGCTTCATTTGCATAATCGTATCATGGCGCTCTTTTAGACCATGGTTTTACTTTTGAAATGGCACTTGTTCGAAAGAGCACCATGATACGATTATGCAAATGAAGCACGGGATATTTAAATCCCTGCTTCATTAACAATTTCGACATGCCCAATCTACATCTCTCTGTTGACAGAGAGGTGTCGTCTAAACGTAACCTGACTCTTGCCCCAAACAATGCTCTTCTAAAGGATTATTTGGATGTTTCTTGCCTGCTGCTGGTAGGAGCAGCTGGCTCTATGTGTCGTAGTTTCTACACCCTTGTTTTCCCCCGTCTTTTGCCCCCACATCCCAGTTGTCTCCCTTACAATATAAACATTTACTTAACAACTCTTAATTGGCCTTCTCACTGGAAGTAGCCCTCCTGCCTTTGAAACAGCGCTAAGGGCCACACACACACACACACACACGCACACTCAGACAAAGCAAACCTCTACTACAGGCAGCTGGACTGATTTGAGAAGAAGCTGACTCCCTGGACTCGATACTTCTGCCCACCCCTTTTCCATCCACCCCCTTTCCTTAGCGCCCACCCTCTGTGTGTCATAGGTACGTGCTTCTCCTTCCTGTGTGGGTCATGAGCTTACAGCCAGCCCCCCTTGGGAGTTGGTGATAATGACAGCGTACCTATGGCTGACTCTGGTCTGTGGCAAATAAGCGGTTAATCTCAGCTCAGATTAACCCTCTGTCCCTCCCCAGGTACTTAGGGGAAGGACTATACATTGTTTCCTGGGATACAGAGAAGAAAGAATGCTTTGGGGAGGGATGGGTTCCATGCTGCGTGTCACAGGGAAGGGCCGATTCCCAAGCTGGGGAGCTCACTGTTTCCTTTTTTCACTTAACTTCATTTGCCTTTTTTGCTATAAATATTATGCCCTGAGAAAAAAAGGGCAGCTGACTGCAGTTGTGCGTTTTCCCCAAGTCATTCTTCTAGTTTACAGTAACCTCACCAAAAAGAACAAGCTGAGC